GACGCGACGTTCTGGTCAAACAGCGCAACCGCTGCAAAAACCAGAAAGGACATGAAGGCATGGACGAAGTCGATGAACTTGATCCTGTAGCCAATTGCGATCGTGGGAGGGAGCGGCGCAGTCCCGTCGATGACCCACAGTCCCTTGAAGGTCGCCAGTCCGTACCGCACCGTGCTGTTCCCGTCCCGAAAGCTGTCCGTGAAGCTGAGGACGAAACATGAGAGGGCGCAGAGGGCCGCGAGACACGCGGTCATCAGCCGGTTCGCCGCCATGCAATGACCTCCGTCGGTGAAGATGGGGGAGAGGAGTTGGAAGGCGAGCACGGTGCCGGTGGGGAGCAGTTTGGCGAGGTGGGCGGTGCTCCTGAAGGTCTGGCTGATGGCTCTCTGGACGGAGGTCACTTGATCGTCACCCGATGAATCTGGAGCCAAGAGAGGCTGCTTCTGCTGCTGCTGTTGCTGCTGAGCTTCTACGTCAGTAATCTTTGTTGCCATTGTCAATGAAGGGATTCCTCTGCAATTCTTCAGCGACTATGGAGGTGATTTATGGGGGGATTGCAGTGGGGAGGACATGGAAGATACGTCTGAGGAGAAGGAAAGGGGGTGGAGGAGGAAGGGAAGGCGTTGAGAGTTGGCTTGCAAGGAAGAGCAAGCAGGAGTTGGGAGGGAAGGTAACGGTTTACAAGAATGGCGGCGGGGTTTACGTTAGAAAGAGCTTTAAGTAGCTGATGTGTGATTGGTTGAGGCGTGTATGGATCTGCTTGTTAGTAACATTATCGGCACGCCAAAACCTTTGAAGTCGAAAGGGATTTACTTCATCTCCATTGCATGCCAATATGCCGCGTACCAACAATTGCACCAGCGGTTTTATACGTGTGTTCTTTGGCGTCTATATGTGATCTTACGTTCACCATAGCTTCATGTGCTGTTCATCGTTCATTATTTCGCGCAAGTTTCTTCCTATGTTTGCTTATGCTATTAATTATAATGATCAATGGTTATGTGTGTGTGTGTGTGTGTGGTGGAGGAGAATAAACCTAACGATTGAATTAATACACCAAAGTTGAATTAATACACCAATCATTTAACTTTAAAAAGTTGAGATATTGCATCCTAACGTTTCTTTACCATCACACTTGTTCGAGTAGAGGTTCGTAATTCTTCATCATGATCGTAGAGATATACTGTAGAGAGAGACATGTGGTTCAGAGAAGAGATCCTCCTTTGGTCCATAATATAGAGGAAAAGATTTACACAAAGATATAGGGAACGTAGTTGTGGGAAAAAGAAACAAGTGAACCATCAGCATTATCTTCCACGTTACTCTAACGTGACCTTGGAGCTAAAAACTAGCTCACTTCTCATCTTTGTATCTCCTCTTGGTATCTCTTGCCTCCTCATCTACCCATCTCACTCAGTGTGGTGAAACGTCTCCTACGGACCTGCTTGCCCCGTCTTCACTCAACCAACTACACCACCTTTCCTTTTTTCTTCTTCCTTTTTAGTTCTCTTTTCCCGTTTTTTTGCGTGCTGTTGTTCCCTTAATCCTTCTTTACAGCTGAACAATGAAGAGGAGAGCATGAACATGTTCCCCCTCCTTTTAAAGTCACTTAGGTTTAAGGATCGTTTGGTTACGAAGTCCTCGAGAGACGTAGATAAACACAAGCAAAGATTAAGGGTCAAGGAATTTGCCACAATTTGTTGAGTAGAGTATCTCTCTTCCTCACCTTCACACTTCCCATAACCTCGTTTTGTCTTGTCCTTTCCTTTTGTGTTCCTCTCTCCTCCTTTGGGAACGATGACCAAAAGCGAAGGAGAACTCTATTCCTTCCCTACTCTCAAGGACAGCTGAGGACGGCAAAGAGGAGTCACGTTGCTTTGTGAGAAACAAGCTTCTTTCTTCTTTCCCTTTTCCTTCCGCCCCTTGCCTTGTCTAGTTATTATTCTCTTTGCCGGGTCCGGAGAAGCGGGAAGGAGAGATAAGGGAATGCTTTCCCAAACAGAGTATTGAGCTTTGTGGGTAGGGGGGGGAATGAGATCAGGTTAGGGTTCCCAACATGGCTTGGTGCAGTAGCTGTGGCAACGATCGCATGTTCGACAGAAATCTAGCCTCCTCGGTAGCACTGGTTGGAGTTGGAAAGAGATTGAAAGCAAATTCCATCAAGGCATGTCCTTCTTGTGGTCATCGCATCGAGCTTGTCGAATCCGAAAAGGTGTTCCTTCTCCTTCGTTTCTTCTGTACTTCGAGATAGTACTTGATTTACCTTGCATCAAAGAAACAATATATTACTCTCAATCAACACAAGAAAAAAACATGGAAGGCTCATGCGTGTGAACGTGGATGAATTCAGCCTCCTTCTGCCATTCAAGATTTGCCGGGGTTGCCCGCCGGAGTGAAGTTTGATCCAACGGACCAAGAGCTTCTCGAGCATTTGGAGGGGAAAGCGATGCCCGAGTCGGAAAAGTTTCACCCTCTCATCGATGAGTTCATTCCTACCATAGAAGGAGAGAGTGGGATTTGCTACACCCATCCTGAGAAGCTTCCTGGTAATTAATATCTGATTGAATGAGCAACATGCGTTTTATTTCACATCATTATAGTCATCGTATTTTCTCTCCGTCTAGATATACATGTTTGGTTTCTCTTCTGTACATATTGGTACCTGCACAGTGACATCTGCAGTTGCCTGAAGGCATCCATGCATAATCCATAACTTTTCATAATTATATCCATTTTAAATGCATTTGTAAGTGAGAATTGAGCATTGGGGATAGAGGAGTAAGAAAACTTTTCATAATTATATCCATTTTAAATGCATTTGTAAGTGAGAATTGAGCATTGGGGATGGAGGAGTAAGAAAAAAACATAATACTATTATAGTATTAAAAACAGGAGAATTGACAAGAACACTTACAAGATATTCTCAAGTACACACACTTTTTATTGCTTCATGGGATCCTATTTATAGGACCTAGTGATAACCACAATATAATTACTAGATCATGATTGAGAAAACACCATATAACTACTAGATAATGTAGTTATTGAAATCACCCTGTAACTACTAGATCATGATAATTACCTAGATAACTATGAATCAAATCTCAATAGATACTCTTTTTTATTTTCTTATAAAATGATTATTTATTTTCATAAAAGTTTCATTTATTTTCTTATAAAATGATTATTTATTTTCATAAAAGTTTCATTAGAATTTGCGATCCTAAAGTTTCTCTCTAATCTCCTAAAATGATTATATCTAATTTTTAGAAACCATGTTCTCTGAAAAATCAAGTTTCTCTACTGGATTTCTATCATATTGCATGCACTGCGTAATGATTTATATGCTCAAGTCACTGCCTTCTCGAGATCATGTACAACATACTTCCTGTGCTTCCTTCGGGTGGATCCATTACGTGTATTTGGATTCATACATATGTATGCATTTGTGAGCTTAAAAATCGGGTATTGTGTGTAGGGGTGAGGAGGGATGGATTAGTCAGACACTTCTTCCATCGCCCCTCCAAGGCATACACGACGGGGACAAGGAAGAGGAGAAAGGTGCACACCGACGAGCATGGCGGTGAGACACGGTGGCACAAGACCGGCAAGACACGGCCAGTGTTCGTGGGCGGAAGTCTGAAGGGCTACAAGAAGATCCTCGTCCTCTACACCAACTATGGTAACCAAAGAAAGCCGGAGAAGACGAATTGGGTGATGCACCAGTACCATCTCGGCTCCGACGAGGAGGAGAAGGAAGGGGAACTTGTTGTGTCGAAGGTTTTCTACCAGACGCAGCCACGGCAGTGTGGTTTGGGAGCGAAGGATGCGGTCCAAACAAGGCTTAACGGATACGGAGGGGGCGGCAACGCCATCCTCAAAGATGGAAGCATCAGTAACTACTGTAGCTCGTCGCTGATATCCTATGACCAGACCAGGAACAGCCAAGCTAAGTTTGCCATGCAGGCTACTGGAGCTTCTTTTCTTCCATGACAAGGGATATATATACATATATAGAAGAAGAAATGATATGACAAGGTTGTTTAATTTTGTACACAGGTGAATGCATTCATTCACTCCAACACGAACCTTTTGATGGAATGCATGAGAGGTTGGATTTCCTTTTGCTTTTACATGTATCAAATAAGTTAGTCCAGCTTTTTCCTGCAATGGTTGTAAAGATGATCCAACTTACTGCAGCAGTGTGTTTGTAAGGAGAGTAATATTATTGTCTGCCCTTCTTTTGTCATTGTGTGTTGTCATAAAGTTGTGAATCACAAATAATGTCGATGATTAATTGGCGATTTCAAGATTTCAGCAGATGTTCTGACACTCTGATGCAACTCCCTGTCATCCAAATTACCATGATTAAGTCTTATCCTAACTAATCACAATATGACAAAAGCAAACTCTGGGTCACAGACAAGTAAATGAAATAGTAGGCCCTCTCTCAAGTGCACAATTCATGCAGCCGATCGATGCATATGAATTGTAGATTTTGTTGTTTTTTAATTTATAAAGGCAGGAATTTGAGAACTTTTCCTAATTTCTGTTGACATATTTACATTTTTTTAAGAAACAGAGAAATATATTAAAGATTTTCATGAGCAAAATGAACAACTATTATTATTCTCTGATAATTCAAAGGACATCACTCTGCCTTCAAAGGCATCTTTACCATGCGAGAGAAGCCAGTTTGTCTCGTTCTAAACTGATGGACTTGTTGCTAGTTTTTGAATGCCACGATGCTCTGCTGAGCAGATCATACTTTATTGTGGTGCACAGGATTCCTTTGTTCTTCCCACACCACGGTGCCCAAAATTGTCTGGTTCTTAGATGCGGACATGATCTGCTCATCCTCTGCCACATGAATTTGTCTAGCGTGAACAACGATCTAAATTCCGATTAAGATACGCCATCTCGGTGAAGTGTTGTCCTACACTACAAGATGCCTCCGTTTGTACACAAGCTGGAGTACAAGCAAGCACATCCAATCTGTGCATTCCCACCTCTTCAGCCTTTCTTTCCCTGGAAGCAGGCTGTTCTTCCTTTAAATCACTCTCTGCATCTCATCTCCAGAATGAAGAGCTAATGACCGCACTGCATTGGTAGCAGAAGCCTAAGATGTGAGGGGAAGAGAGAGAGAGAGAGAGAGAGAGAGAGAGAGAGAGAGAGAGAGATGCT